AGAGAAAGCAAGGGAGAGGGAACTGCACACTTTAAAGATTGCCCAGTAAGGGAAGACCTAAACAGATGTCTTTTTTTTTTTCGAATTTTAATGGTGAAAAAGCATTCCCCAAATGCCCAGTTGTGGCAGAAAAAAAAACTTTAAGTGACTTGAGAGTGAAACTGAAAGATCCTGARGAGTTAGATGAGGGACTTCTTGATTCCTACTCTGCTGGAGAGGGAAGGAGGTGATAKATTCCATAGCTCTGAAAGTCATGATTTATATAATCCATAGGAATAGCCACATAAATGCATATTTGGCCTCTCCACACTTCTATGTCCTGGAGTGGCATCCCCTTGAAAGCTTTGGGTAAATAGGGAGATGTACAGTTCTAAAAGAAGCCCATGTTACCCAAGATCTCAAAGGTTTTATGTCTCTGACTCACAAAGAAACCTTCTGAGTTTTAATCCTATTCTACTTCTTGGTATGGGATAAGGACAAAAGCTCARTGCTTTCCTCTAATATTCAATGATGCAGTAGAATAAGCAAAACAGAACTGTGCATGTTTTATAGAGACATTTTTAGGCTTTGTGGGTTTTTTTCCCTTTGTCTCCAATGGAGATCAGCTCCCTAGACACAGATACCTGCTTGGTTCCTGTCACAAGGCATGGAATAGAATGGTCTCATTGCTTCACTACATCTCTCCATGTCAGTTCAGAAGAAACACAAGGAGAAAGTGAATGAGTTTTGATCTCCCCTGCATGAAAAGTCATCTGTGTTTTAGCTATTAGTCTCACACTGCAACTTTAGCATCGATACTCTTTATGGAGTGGCAAAGATCCACCTGCATGCCAAGCTGCTGCTTTAGAGCCAGGGTCTGAGCCTGTGTTCACATCAGAAAATATTCCATCTGAGCACTGCCAAAGCATCACTGCTGGATGTGACTCTGGTGTGCACCAGCAAATATTTAGAGATGAGTGAGACTGGCCTTTAATGTTGATGTGAACAATGATTTTCAGTCCCTTACCTCTTGCACTCCGTTCAGTTTGTACAGCCTGAACTTTTCCACATAATCCCAGTATAAACCTTTTTGTTTCACAGTTATCCTCACATGGGTACTGGAAGGCTAAGCTCTGTGATTTTTATAAGCCTCCTTTTTCCTGAGTTTATAAAAATACTGTTCTTTACAAATCAAAACCCGGTCTCACTTTCAAAGAAAACAATGCAATCAAAACAATAACCCCTCGACAAATATAACACCATGTTCTACAGGAYAAGTATTGATTAAAACAAAAAGGGCTTTTTAAACACCATTAATTCTTACCAATTCCAGTAGTTATTGATTCTGCATCAATGTCATTAGCCTTTCTCTTTGCCACTTCAGCTAGTGCCAATTCACCCTTATCTAGAGCAAGGTAATGGATGTCCTTTGGAAATAAAGGAGAAGAGAAAAGATTAATCTAAAATGAATCTCAAAGGAGCAACAAAAGGGATTTTGAAAGAAAGAGGTTCTTTTATTATTTAGATCACAAACAYAGATGGAACTGATGAACCTACCATTACATTTTAATTCCCTCCAATGCAAATTTATTTCCTTACTTGTGCTGTTGAATACAGCAATGAACAAAACACTGACCAATCACCCACTGATAAAAGTGAAGCTATTGACTCAGTGCATGAACGAAACCAATCTGTCTACTTTTAACAAAGCTTCTGCTGAATTAAAAGAGAGTTGATGGGAAGTGGCTCTGTGTAAACCAGATCTGAAGTACTGGAACTCTCCTGACTGACAGCCTGTATTTGGAGCGTGCTAAATGCAGATGTAGTGCTTAGAGACATGGTTTAGTGGTGGGCCTGTCAATAATGGGTTAACAGTTGGACTCGATAATCTTAGAGGCCTTTTCCAACCTTAATGACTTTGTGAATCCAAGGTTTCCACCTTTTAAGGACTAATATTTGTTTTAATGTTCTGTGGGTAAGGTGATGATGGTCCTCCCTGTACTGATATCCAGGGGCAATAAGAGCAACAGTGGCTGCTCAGTGGTTTTGACATCCACAGAGTTGACATGATCCCTGAGTCACTCCTGAGCAGCAGGATCCTTCCAAAAAATGTTGTCTAGCATGAATAGTTGCTAAATACTCTGGATCTAGACTTTTATCTAAAGTAAAAAAAAACAGCCGGCTGCATCAGGGGTATATTGTTATATAGAATTAGAGAATTATAGAATGGCTTGGATTGGAAGGGACMTTAAAGCTCAATTTGTTCCAACCCCTTGCCCTAGGCAGGGAYATCTTCCACTAGGCCAAGTTGCTCCCAGCCCTCTCAACTTTAAACACTTCCAGGGATGGSGCAGCCACAGCTYCTCTGGGTAACTTCTCTTCCAGGGCCTSACCACCCTCACAGGAAAGAATTTCTTCCTAATATTGAACCTAAACCTGCCCTCTGCCAGTTTAAAGCCATTCCCCCTTGTCCCATCACTGCATGCCCTTATCAAAAGTCGGGGCTTTTTATTGCATGTTCATATTTGAGGTGAAAGCCACYCGTACTACACACAGAACTATTTGTGGGAAAGGATATTCCTGCWGACAAACCACAGCCTCACTGCCCTTGGTGTTGGCCCTCGAAGTAAAATTTCATTCTTGACCATTAATCAAGAGACAATTAATCCCTTTCTCATTTGGCATCACATTCACATGCTGCTCTGTGCATGARCTGTGACACCTCACTTTCTGGTGAGGGAAATCCAAGAATAGTTGGCAAAATTCTTTTCCCCACTTCTTTGTTGAAGATACCATTTGGCATCCAAGGATTTGAGCAATTTCATTGTTTTGCAAGCCATCTGCATGCAGGAATTTAAAGGGAAAAGGAATGTTTGCTGGAAATATTAACCTCTGCATGCCATAAAAGCAACCATTTTCTCACTAATGGACAATTTCAGGTGAAACCATCCTTTTTGTCATGAGTTCACTGCCACCTTCATCAATATGACAGAAACTCTCACAGGAAAAGGGACTTTATTCTAGAAAGAGAAGTTTATATGAAAAAATGGGAGAGCAATTGTGTCAGAGGGAAGACATGCTGCTTGTAGTAACCATTCATTAAATAATAGTAATAACAATAATAATAACAACAACATCAACAATAATAATAATAATAATATAAACAACTACAACAATTTTAAAACAAAATTGAGAATCTTGAGGAAACTGAGACTGATCATGCAGGAAAGCCTGGATCTGACCTGCAGGATCCACAGAGTCTGCAGGAGACAGCAGTGTTTTCTCATCATAAATACAGGTGTGACTTAAAAAATGTGCAAGTGTCTYGGAGCAAAGTGATGGGTTATGAACTTGTGGCGAACTCTGCATTTCCTCCCTTTGTAGGTCTAACATGGTTGTCAGGARAAAAGGGCCTGAGTAGCAAGGAATTATTTCTATGAAGATTAAACTGCAGATATTGTCTGCTTTATTTAGATAACAATAGAAAACCCAAGGGCTCTTGGACAAGTCTGAACTTACAGAGGTTTGGAGGTATGGACAGACATTTAAAATACATTCTGACAATGCTTAATGATTGCCTTTTTGTAGCTTAAACTATGAGAAGTGTGGTATATCTCCATGCAATTTCAAACAGTGAACTTGGGGATGGGATGGAAACAACTGCAGAGGATGRTGAAGTTTTGTCAGTGAAGAAGTTGTGCTCTCTCTGTGTATCAAAGCAGCTGTCATTTCAGGTCTTGGTTTTGTCCATCTTCTGGTTTGAGTAAAGAAATGTAAAGATGCCACAAACCCATCATTAATTAATGGGGGCCTTGTAAGAAATAAAGGTCAGCAATAAGTTGGTAAGTGGCTTTCTTTGCTATTCCTCAAGTTGCCGTCATGAAAAACAATTAAAAAAAAAGTAGCCTTTGCCTCATTTCTAAACCACCTTTAGAAAGAAAATATTACAAATATGGAATCTCCTAATCAGACCATTTCAGATCAAATTTAGGTGTTTCTCGTTCAAATAAACCAGCAAAACTGGATTTTTTTAAGAATTCATAACTTTCTGAGTAGAATTAAACTAGAAAATTAAAAAACAGAAAGAATAAGCACCAGGTTACAGGGTGCTTTAAAAATGACAGAAAAAAAAGGAATTAAATTATCTGAATATTCACGACAGCCTTTTTTATTCACACAATTACCTAAGAATTTATCAGTCCAAAGATCACATCTCTCAAACACAATGGTGACAATAAAAACAATTTCCAGCTGCTTATCAGGAGTTTGCTGAGAGGGCTCTATTTTATCATTTAACAGTTTGCTTACTTGTTGGACTACTTCCCTTTTCCCCTCACTTTGTGACTCACAGAGCTGGCCGTTGGTGAGCAGAAGTCATTTGAAACATGATGTGTCTATAGGATATTTCTGGGCAACACTCCAACATTTCTTCGAAGCTTGCACTTTCCTCATCAGTGCATCACCCAAGATCTGACAGTTTTATTAAAGTGTCTTTTCCTTGCATTTTTTTGCTACCTTTGGTACGTGGGATGGCCTTTTGAATTTTCAGCAGCTGAGAGCTGGAAAGCACTATAAAARGATTTCAAGCTAACAACCCTTCCACTGCTTGATCTTTTCTGCCAGAGATTGGATCAGTCACTGTCCAATAAATGGAGCTGTTGTTTATGATATTTTGTCCTTTTCAGATTTTTTTTTTTATTGAACTTTGTAGGAGATGATATTAATTGATGGATTTGGATGTGACGTGAGGGTAAAGCYCAGGGAGAGCCACAGCAGTGTGAATGTGTCTTGCTATGGCATCATCTGGTGAYRCTRCAGCCAAAGTTTTAAGCCTTTTTTWAAAACTTTTTCATTTCTTTGAAAGAAATTCATCCTCAGACAGCCTTCTCTCAAACTTCTCTGCAATCTCAAAACAAATAATGGGAATGCTGTAGAGCATTGGTGAAATKGATGTTCAGGGTAAATTCTCAAAGACAGAGGACGTGTTCTTAGAAGTCTCAGATGGTGGGAACTCAATGTTTGCATCCTCCTCAACYTCTGCTCTATCTATTCTTCTCTAKCCTTTCTTTTTTGTTCCTTCTCTCTTCCCCTTTAATAAACAGATTTTTTTCTTTCCCATTTTGTTTATGCCGTCAGGTATCTTTATTTAGACTACTATTTCTCCTTGAAATCCCATTAAATTAATTGGGAATAAGATGATGTGACTCCTAGAGCYAGGTGAGGTTTAAAAACGGATAAGAATGCTTTAAATATATGCAAAGCCAAATTGTATATTATGAATTGCATTTTGCCCTACATAAACAGCATATAGGATTCATTCAATATTAAGCAGAAGCGAGGGATGCACAACCCTTCCTTAGCAGTWGTGTTGTTATACCAATACCTAGAAGGGCTGTAAGGTTTCAGGGAACAGGATATCTAATTTTCACACAGTGCTAAGCACAATGAAGTCAAATTCCCCCAAAATTACCATGGCACAAATAAATACTCTTAACGACCTATGCATGTTCAAACTTCTCGAGTCCTATATTTAGTGGTCTTGCAGCAGTACCACTGTTAGCTCATTGTAAAGTTTGCTCATTAGTGATTGACTTAGACAACAAATTAGCAAAAGGACATTTCCCCAGAGGAGGCAGGCATTTGTGCTGCTTGTTGCATAATTTAGGGGAAACTATGAGGAATCTCAAAGGTAATGCAAGCAGAAGGAGGACATTAAAGAACAGGTTTTGAACTCACAAGAACATAAGCCAGGAGGAACTCTTTGGAAATATACATTTATGTTTAAGGGCATTGGTAGGGTGAGAAATGAAGAGTAGGTGTTGGGAGAGGAAAGGAAAGGCAAAGAGTAGGAAAGGATGGAGTTAATTGCTCTGTGAACACTGAAGAGAGAAAGCTGGAGAGCCTTTTTGGTGGGAGTAGAACATGTTTTCTGTCACCTGTGGAGCTGGGTGCTGACACTCCCTCCCTTTCTCAGCTGTGCACCCATCACTGGTGCTCCCCACCCTGGGACAGAGGTGCTCCCTCAGTCCTGCTGCCAGCAGAGAGATGGAAAAGTCCACGCAGGAAATGTTCTCAGTCATATAATGGCAAATACTGGGACATTTATTCTGTCAGAATGGCTAAAATTAGGGAGTATTTAGYATTTAGAGCCATTGAAAAAAAGCTTTAATCCACTCCAGACATACTACAGTCTTACACGTGGCTGCAGCAGTGCTTAGCATGATTAGGAATAAAATTTGTATTGAAGAGGTTACATTCAATGAAGAGAAAAGGAAAGAGACGATCTAAAAAGAGGAAAAATTGAGGGGAGTAAACACAGAACATGTAATGAATTTCCTAAAAGTCTGACATTTCCATCACATTCTTTTGATGCATACTTAGGAAAGTTTATCGCCGTATTCACATCTTTCTAATTAGATGGAACAAGCCAGATGATTAGAGCCGTGAAAAAAACATCAAAAGGTTCACACAACTTTTTATATAATTAGAAGGGAATTTTCATAACCCCTAAAAGCAGGATTTAATTGTGTAATTTAACATACAATTTAAATMTCAAGATCAAACTAGCAGGGCAAGTGACTTAATGGGATAAATGATATTAACATCTAGTGTCAAAGCTTAATTTAAACAACAGAATGTCTTCATTATGCAAAAGAGTCAAGCAAACGAATCGTTCAAAGGGCCTTTTTTTTCAATGAGCCCTTTCCTATTGTTTCTTTGAAAACAATGAAATCAGCTGTGGAGCAGCAACATGCTGAGAGACTAGGAGAGCACGATTGGCTTTGTCCATCTGACCTCACTGTGACATTGTGGTGCAAGATCTTATAAAACAAGAACCTCCTGCAGTGCTCACACAGAGGACCTTTTAAGAGCTGGTTAATTTTACTTTTGTAGCTAATTAAATGGGAGGGGGCAGAGAGTGCATGAAATGTTAAAACCCTTGTGTTGATGCTGCTGAGCTTTGTTGTTTTAAAAGCACCAGCAGAAGCGTTCATAATTTGTCACTTTTCACAAAACCCSAAGAGACAAACCAAGAGCATTCAGGATCCCCAGGACATGGACAGCTCTTGTGTCCAGGACTCAGCAGTTGGACTTAAAGGAACAAATTAGAAATGTATAAGCTTATTAGAGTGAAAGATGACATTCACCCACATCAGGTCAGGTGAAGAAAGGGAAAGTTTAAAAACTTTTGTAATAATTCCTAAAAAATATAGAATAGGTACAGGCCATGCTGGGGAAAATATCAGTTACTCTAAAGATACTCAAGATTCTTACTGATGAGCTTCATATGACAAAGGTTCTGTCTTCTGCAAATGACCTGGAACTGACATTTTAATGTGTGCAAAAGATGACAAATATCATCCCCCAACAGCCTCTGTCTCCAGAAACAACTCACCATGAACAGGTCCCGAGCACCAATGTCGACAGCGAGCAGAAATGCTTTCTCAAATCTCTGATACCTGAAAGAAAACAGAAATGTGTCACATAATGAGGCTAATTGAAGAGCTGCATCAAATTTTGCCAATGCACAGAGTCCTTCAATGCTCATCAAAAGTGATGCCAAAGCTTTATTGGAGAAACTTGATGGGCTCATACTCAGAATACAGAACTGTGAGGTAGCACAGTGACTACCTTTAACTTTCTTCATTGTTTAAAACTTTCAGCAAGTGGTTCAGCGTTGAGTCCCATCAGATCTGGCTGAATCTGAAGGGAGCTGAAGATCCTGTCGATCCTAACAAACAAATCCGAAACAAATCCATCCTTTACTGACCACAACACWGATAAACACTATCCCCAACAATGCTGGCAGGAACCTCAAAATCCTCTAGGGAAAATACTAATCCCAAATCTTACATTACTTCAGGGGTCCCTGTAGAAGTTTGCATTGAGTTTTGTGCTTGCAGACCCCTTGATAGAGCTCTCAGAAGGTGCTAATCCAGTTGAGTGATGAATTCTCAGGGGCTGAAAAAGGTAGGGGGTGATAATGTTTTGTCTCATAAGTGCTTTACCCCAGGATAAGCACAGACTCCTGAGAGTTTTCTGAGATCCTAAGGTGAAAAAGATCGCATCAATGAAGTAAAYTAAGGGGGAAAAGAGCAAAAATTACCTCCAGATGTGCTCCAAAAGGCATCACCTGAGCATCACCCAGAGAAGCAGCAGAGCAGGACGGGGGCAGCATGGATGTGGAACCTCACCTTTAAGGACCATTCCTTTGGTGGGTTGGAGGTTTTCTGAACAACAACTCCTTCCATTTGTGGTGACAGACTGACCCCTTCATCCCACCCAGGCACCACACACAGTCTGGGGGTTACTGCAAACACCCACACTGGGCAAGGCTGTGCAGATCCTCTTGTTCACTATCCTTGGGAATTCCACAGAAGGAGGACACAAAGCCATCCACCAGAACCTTTCTGCACTGGGAAATGCTAATTCCAATGGGAAATTCTGCATTGAGCTGTTGTCTCTCTCTTGTACTTGATGTGGATAACCATTACGTGACAATGTACTACAGAAAGTGATTCTATCTGCACACATTTTCCTGGTTTTGCACATTTTTAACTGTTTAAGATTAGCTAAGAAAATAGATTTGGTGATTATTTTTAGAAATCAAATTCCCCAGTTTCATTCCGGTTGGGAGGTAAAAGATKGATTCCATATAGAATTATTTCTGTATTTGTCCTATCACTGGCAAATTTTCCCCCTTTCCACCTGTTCATAATTTCAACAATGGATCAGTTGTGGACACTTGAAGTCTGGGAAGGAGATGACTTTTTTGCCCCAATGGGGAAAAAAGAGCATTGTGATTTCTCAGGGTTAGAAAGGTGCAGGTTGTGCTTGTCAAACGCATTTTGTCAGAGAGCATCACGAAATGCCAGGATTTGTACAGCTCTGTACCTCGGTGGGGTCACAGGAAACAGAGGCAATGCTGCAGCTCCTCCTCAGACCGCTGTGAACAAGAGGAAAAGTGGGAATGCTCCTTCCCCTGGGTGGGGAAAGCAGCCCCATGTGATGCTCCACCCCGGGATTCCAAAGCTCCCTCCTGCCGCAGCCTTATCCCTCTCCTCCCTTCCACCGCACACTTGGAATGATCCATCAGATCGCAAGATAGAGCCACACAGGACTGYTCCTCAAGGAATAACATTCGTGACAAGGAGGCAGAATATGTTACCTTAAGTAGAAAAGGAAATGCRCTCTCCAGGTGAGGTTCCTAAGAGCTGGAGCAGGGAGTCCTTCCCTCCCTAAAGCTAAACTCCCTGCTGGGAGTTCCAAGTACTAATTTGCAGCCCTCCTCACAGAACCAGTTTAAGGGAGGGGAAGAGGTAAATCAGAGTTAACCTCTTGATCACCAAGGAACAAGCAGTGCACCCCCAGTTTTTCATACTTTTTTTGAAGCTTTTCAACATGATTCCTTCTGAAGGGTTTTCCATTACAATACATTGTTTTGCAATTATGCTTCTGAAGCAATTTTTTTAATTAAAAGAAATGAGTACACGTTATAATACACATAACTAGAACAGCTATCATGTTTATATTTTTTCTGTCATATTTTTCTATTCCATTATGGATTAAATACACATTCTTAGTACTTAGAGTGGTAATCAGAAACTGAACAGAAACCAGCTAAATGACTGACTAAAAAGAATGGCTGTATCATTATTTTGTTTTTCCAAAGTTATCACTATATAGGCTATTTGAATGACATTTGCTTTAGCCAAGGCAAAAATGCCTGCAACCAAAAAATGTAAAATAACTTTCTCTTTTGATTGACTTGCAGAACGGAATCATGGCCTTAAGCTGTCATTTCTTTGCAGTTTCACAAAGATTTCAATTTTTTTTYCTTTAATCAACATGCATACTTCAGTCTCATTATGGCCCTTATTCATAAAAGTGTGACATTAGCTCATTATTTTCACATCTGCACTAAGAAAAAAAAAAAAAAGGAAAAAGAAGACTATCTGAGAAATGCTCTTCACAAACCAAGAGCATTGGAAACAACAATCACAGTTACTTCATAATTTATTATAAATTGAATTGCATTAAAATAAGGTGGATGTTTCTAAGAAGAGTGACAAGYTTGCATTACTTAGGCCAACAGTAATAAATCAGTCAAGAACATCCAGTGTTCTTTAAGCCAGCTGTACAGAAGATAATTGTTATTTCAAAACCCTTTGGTATGAAAGTTTTGTTGGTTTTGATGTGCAAGAAGCATTATAGAGAGATCTACACAGCACGAGACCAACCTAAAGCTAATGACATCTCTTTTATAAAGATGGGGTTTTTTATCTTGCTRTTGTTAGCACAATCACAATAGTTCATCAGCTCCTCAAAAAAACAAAATGCCCCCCAAGTAAAACATTCTCCCTTTTGTCTTCAGGTACAATATTTGCTTTTTAAAATGGAACCTACAGGTCCCTGATTTTGGACAGTGTCCTCCCACCCTTCCTCCACCTTTCCCCTTCCTGCTTGATTCACAATAACTCCAGCAATCAAGTCTTGTATGTCTCTTGAAAATGAGAGATAAGGAAATCCACCTTCAAACCATGATGTTCAGTCACTTTTTTTTGGTCAAAGGGACAGGCAACAGAAATATGACCTTCAAGATTGGAACTCTGAAACTGCAATTACCTATGGAGGATATACAGGAAAAACATTTCCCTGTAGTAGAGCCACTTAGAAGACACAATATTAATTTCAAATTCTCATGTAATAAAAGAATATTGTCATTATATGGATTTATGTCTGTATTCTAAAAAAGTATAAAAAAAATGGCTGTTAGTACAGGCAAGGAAATCAAGGGGCAATGTGAATAATGTCACAAAGGTCTTGCTTTAAATGAAAAGATCAAAGGTCTTGGTTTTTTTAAAAACCAAAGGTCTTGGTTTAACTGAAAAGATACCAGGAAAGCATTTTATTTTTAAAAAAATATATAGGTAGTAAAAAAATTACGATGTTATCTTTAACTTCTGAAAGGCTATTCTGTTCACTAGCATAAATAATAGSAGAATCAAATGCCTGGGATTTCCTTCTGTTGGATGTTCAGAAATAAAGTAATTTGAAATACCGTTGATCAAAAAAGCTGTGGATGGATTGCAGCCTGCAGAGAAGGGAAAAGAAGTATCTTTGGTTTTTAGAAAATGTTCTACAAACGCATCAAGAGGCAAAGTTTTTTCATCTGTATTCCACAACTCCTAAATTGAATGYGGTCATTTAAAGATAGAGATATATTTTTTCAGACTGAAAATGGTCAACATGAAAATACTTGTAATATTTAGCCTTAATATTAAAACGTCTCGTAAGACCTCCAGGAAGCAGAAAAAAAAAAATCATGTGGAGGGAGGAGGAAGGGAAGGGAGAGGGAGCTCATGCAAGCAAGCAATATAGTGCAGAAAAGATGGAAACATTTCTTTAGGGACTAGTTACAACCAACAAGCCTTCTTAGACATGCTCATCGACCATGTAAGCATATTCCTTGTGCTGGGCTGATAAAGGAGGGCTGCAGCAGTTTTTTTCCTTGTCTTCAATAAGAGTACACAACATTTAGAAAATAATCTGCAGGGGAAGAGCTGTGGCACAAATAATATTTATAAGGCAATCCTTTTTAATGGAAGAAATTTCAGAGTCCTCCTCATCTCACAGTCCAATCAAGAGTGATACGCATTCAAAAAGTGGATATTAAATATTCACTGAGCAAACAGAACAGGAAAAAAATGAATATTGAAATAATTTACATGTAATCAAACTACACTGAAATTAAGTTTTAATTGTTCAGTATTCCATGATGCATATGCAGATTTTAAAGTATTCAGAATATCAATCAAGTGTTTACTTACATCAAGCAATTGTATTTAAGCATACAAAACAGATGATGAAAATATGTTCAATCAGCTTCAGCTCCCAACATTTACTGCTGGGTTTACATGATCACTTTTAATTCAGTTATTTCATTTAATATTTCAATTTAATAGCTCATTCTTTCATTCAATTTCTAGGCATCTTGCCCATTTCTTAAACACAATAATAATAATTATTCATAAAAGGAGCTGTTTCCCCATAAATTCTCATATCAGCAATTTTTGGAACAGAAATGGTTTTCATGCTTTTTTTCCCCCTCAAAATATGTTGTTGTTATCTGAAACACTTTCCTATTAAATTAGACAATATTAAAATAAAGAATGACATCTGCAGAATGACTGTGAACCTCGTTCCATTGGAATTCTGAGCCAGAATAATTAGAGATTTATCAGGTTAAAGAACCTAAAAAGTGTGTGGCTAGGTTGCTAAGTGGTTGATTTAAATGGGCACAGATTGTTTTTCAACCAGTTGTTGAACACAGCCCCACCGATTTTGGTGTGGGGCTGTGGGTCATCTTCAGAGCCCATTTACAAAACCTGGGCTTAAGGACTTAAATGATTCACAGGAAAAATTCTCATGTGTAATCATCCCTAAAATGACAACCCTG